ATATAGTAGCGATGTGTGCTTTCACCGTGGGGGTGAGTGCCACCCCCTTCTCGGGGGTGTAAAAATAAATCACCCATTTTAATTACAAAAATCAATAAAGGGATGAATTCTAAGCAAAATATGTTCTATAACATTTTTTTAGAAAATTAATATTTTCCGAGTTATTTAGGATTGAAAATAATTTGTTCTCTAGGCATTCTTTGACCAAATTTTTCGAATTCGGTTACTGAATTGATCGCTTCTAAGGCTACTTGACTATCGGATAAGATGGCTGTTTCTATCCGATAGTTCCTAAGATAATACTTTCGATAGCATCTGATAATGCTAACATGTCCAGCAAAACGTCTAGTGTTAAAAGTAAAGTGTTTTCGTGTATTGTGTTAAAAGTATCTACAGGGTGGCCCATCAAAAACGTTCCGCAAGGCATAACGGCCAGGGTAATTTTTTTTTCAGAAAATTCAAAAACACGTCAATTTTGTTTGTGAGGGGGACAATTTTTTTCAAATGGGAAGGGGGTAAAGTGGTACCGCAATGAAAAGAGCTCTCTATCCTCTATACTTTCCCGCTTCGTTTTTGAAAATCGGTCGAGTCATTGACAAAATATGAAGGATTGAAATTTGAACATTTTATTTAAACATTTATCAGAGTAACGATAAGGATAAATTCCTTCGATCAATTTGCAGTTTTTTCTTATTATTTCTAGATGTTTGCGCATTTTTTCCCTTGCCAGAAGGTTGAACGATCAGGTGCGGTAGTTGCTAGATAGCTGTTCTGTGACTTGTGCGTTGAAGTTCTTCTCAATATCGTTAAACTTTTTAACAATTATGGCGTACTCACTTGCAGAAAAAGTGGAAATAATCGAACTTTATTTTAAAAATAATGAATGTGGCAATCGGGTTGCGCAGATATTCAATGAACGCCATCCTGACAAACACTTTTATTGCAAGATTGTTCGCGAGTTAGTAGCAAAATTTCGCGAAACTGGTTCCGTTATGAATAAAAAAATGCAGAGGGAAAATCCTGTAGTAGATGAAGCTATGGAGGTATTCGTATTGGGCGAAGTTGCCATGGATAGTACGCTGAGTACAAGAAAATTAGCCAATGAGACCGGCGTGAATCGTACAAGTGTCCAAAGGATATTAAAAAACACAATTTCCACCTGTACAAAATTCAGTTGGTACAAGAACTCAACGAAGACGATTTTGATCGTCGTTTGCAATTTTGTAAAATTATGAGTGAACGAGTGGCGAATGATAATAATTTCCTATTTAATGAGCGTTTTTCGGATGAGTGTACTTTCTTTTTGAACGGTGTAGTTAATCGGCACAACTGTCGATACTGGGCTCAGGACAACCCCAGGGTTTTTCACGAGGTGCACACCCAAAACCCTCAGAAATTGAACGTGTGGGCTGGTATTTTTGGAAATTCTGTTGTGGGTCCTTTTTTTCTTCCTGGAAATCTAACAGGTGATATGTACTTGGATTTACTGGAAAATACCATCGACCCAGCCCTAACTGACATCATAGAGAACAATCTTGGATACGTTGAAGCGGAACTAATATTTCAACAAGACGGTGCGCCTCCACATTACTCTCAAAATGTGCGTAATTATTTAAACAATAACTTTCCCGGTCGGTGGATAGGACGAAGGGGTGCAGTTGAGTGGCCTCCCCGGTCACCCGTCTTGACTACTTTAGACTTTTTTCTATGGGGACACAGAACAAGTGAAGTGTATAGCACTCCACCCACCTCATTAGAAGACCTGCGAAGACGAATTATTGATATTTGTCGCAAGTTCTTCAGAATGTTCGAGAACGGTTTGAAAATAATTTGTATTACTGTATGGAAGTTTTTTTTTAATTAATTCAATTTATGCGTTTTTTTGCAAAAAATACTTTTCAAATTTCAATCCTTCATATTTTCAAAATGACTCGACCGATTTTTAAAAACGAAGCGGGGATATATAGAGAATAGAAAGCCCTTTTCATTGCGGCGTCACTTGACCCCCCTTCCCATTTGAAAAAAGTTGGGGGATGACACCCTCGCTTAGAGGGTTGAAGATTTTGCAATCATTTTGAGAGCAAAAGTTGTCCCCCTCACAAACAAAATTGACGTGTTTTTGGATTTTTTGAAAAAACAAATACGGCCGTTATGCCTTGCGGAACGTTTTCGATGGGCCACCCTGTATACTTCTGTACTACTATATAAAATCCTTAAGTGACTCACTGATCAATCACGATCCTGCTCAAACCACTCAACGTAAGAAGCTCAATTTTGGCATGCAGGTTGATTCTAGGGTGTAGAGGTTCGATAAGAAGGGATTTTTCGAAATTCCAGTTCCAAGAGGGTGAAACCACCTCAAATATTATAATATTTTTTATTTAAAAAACGGTCAAGTTTCCGAAAAAACGCTTAAACACCTATATTTTATTTTGTTTTTTTACATATTTTAAGATTTTTTAAAAATGTATACAGGGTGTTTCGAAAAATCTGGTCATTGATTAATCAACATTAAAACCGATCCTAACTAATCAACCTAACCGATCCTGCTTAAAGCGCTTGATGTAGAAAAGCTGATTTTTGGAAAACGGATTGACTTTACGGTGTAGAGGTTCGATAAGAAGGGATTTTTCGAAACTCGAATTCTAAGAGGGTGAAACCACCCAACGTCAAATATTAGAATATTTTTCATTTAAAAACCGGTGAGTTTTTCGGAAAAACTCTTGAACCCGTATATTTGATTTTGTTGTTTTACATATTTTAAGACTTTTTAAAAATTTATACAGGGTGTTTCATAAAATATGATCATTGACAAATCACGATTCTGCTTAAACTGCTTGACGTAAAAAGCTGATTTTTGGAAAACGGATTGACTGTGGGGTGTAGACCCAAGTAGCATTTGGACGTTATCTAACGTCGGTTATACGTCGCGTTCAATAAACCCGACGTCGGGTACCAACGTCGGTGCGATCGCCTGACGACTCTTATTTGCACCTAAATGGGGAATACAGATTCGGGTCGTCTCGACGTCGGTATCTGACCTAATAGGGAATGTAATTCTACCAACTACCAACGTCATATTTACGTTGGATTTTAGTCACTTAAAATTCGTCGCTAAGCACTTACGTTACGTTTGGTTTCATATTCGCTACCAAGAATACATAAAAACCTAACCAAACTACCTAATTACAAATGGATTCATAATCACTCCTCATATATAAACAAGTGCCTATCTAATTTCATATTATAATAATTCTGAATCATTAATCCAGACATCAGTTTTGTCAACGGAAGTCTCTTTCGTGATATATCTGATTAAAATACTCCGGAAAACAACGAGCGCCTTCAAAATTAGGTAGATTTATGAAATAAAAATATCTATAAAAAAGTAACTCGCAAAATATTTTTTTAATTTTCTAGCTGGTTTAATCATAAAACTGTACTGTGGTTCCCCCCAAACTCAACCTTATCAATATTATTCTACTAGAAATCGAAATGTGAATATAAATTTTAATAACAAAAAACGATTTTAAAATGGCTGACTATCTGATACTTGTTAAGAATGGCGGATTTCTGTGTCCGACTTAATATGAACTACCAATATACCAATTCCAACCGGGTCTTCAACATTAGTCGTCTCACACGACCGAAGTCATCAAACCGGACGACCGGCAATCGTATTATGACGTATATAATTCCAACGTACGCCACGTAACCTCACTTTGCGTATCAGTGATTTGTAGATTTGTACAACTATATTTTAGTTTTTGTTTTCTCCTTAAAAAAAATGGGCAGCCACTTTTTTAAGCCTAACCTCACATGTGGGAAGAGAATGGGGTCTGCTGGTTTCCTAAGCTAAAAAATGAAATTAAGATGCACCAGTGTAATGCAGCATCTCTTCCGGATAAAAAAGCATTTATGGGTGGAGGCAAGACATCACTACTACTATTATTATTTTGTAAAAGCCTCGAGCTCTTTCTGTAAAATGTAGATGAATGTCTAAATGCCTTTTTAGTGTTTTTTTAGGCGTAAATTAAGTATGTTTACTTTTGTAAAAACTTTTTATTAGGTTATATTCCTGATGTTCATTAGGTCGCAAATACTACTTAATGGGTTGTATTTACGGACGTAAATAGAGATACGTAAATTAGGTTATAAATATGAACATAAAATACAACAAAATATAATTGGACGTTACTTTAGGGATTATCAGTGAGACGTATCCTATTCGGACAACGGGGAGACGTCGGACTAGTATATGTACGTCGTGCAAGCCAACGTGGGAACGACGTTGGGAAATTAATAAAAATGGTACGTTGTTATTTTGTACGTCGACAGATCGTTGGATTTACCGACTCGGATCCAACGACGTCGCTTTTAATAAGAAAACGACGTCACAGGTCGTATCACCAGCACCCGACCTAAATTTGCACAAAGTCTGACGTCGCTTCAGGTCAGATTTAGTTCGAAGTCAGATAGATGCTACTTGAGGAGGTTCGATAAGGAGGGGTTTCTCGAATCTCAAATTCCAAGAGGGTGAAAACGCCTCTCAAATATTACAATATTTGTTATTTAAAAAAAGGTTAGTCTTTCGGGAAAACGCTTGGACACGGGTAATTTATTTTTTTTACATATTTTGAAATTTTTTAAAAAATCATACCAATATGTTATGCATATACTGTTATGCATTTTAGTGGTTCACGTGGTAAAGAATCATAATGTCAAAGAATCACAGAATTCAAATTGAATATTGAACTAGCAATATATTTTTTCAAAAAGGATATTTAAATAAATCAATTTAATGATGATACGAAATTATTCACAAAGAGAAAAACGTCAAATGTACCGTTAAATGGTATAGAAAATAAATAATCGTTTTTATGATTTCGCACACCTCCTCCCACCGTGTAAATTCAAATTAAAACAATATATTATTAAAGTGCCAAGGTCTGATATTATACATCCGTAAACAAATATTCAGTGTTCGCCATTCAGTACAGTCGGGAAATACCATCAAGCACGTTGATGATGGTCGATAATTATAATTATTTATGTATTAAATAACAATGCAGCCAGCAACAAAACCGATCTCGTTTTGGAATTCTATTTGCATCAAAAGCGTCGAGAGATTTTAAACGATATTTTTCTAGTAGGTTGTGCAACGTAATTAGTGGGATTTTGGATACTGATAAGGCGGTCCTGACCCCGTGAGTTCAAGTCAGTTGGTTGGCGATTGTTTTCCTAGCTTAAATGTCAAGTGGAAGGTTCGGATTTATTCGTGGTCCCCTGTTAACAATATCATCAATCTATTTTTAAGTAAGTTTATTTTTATTACACTTATTGATGTGTAGACATTTAATTTATTTATAACCATTGAGAATTATATAATTTGCGATTAGTTATCAAGTAGTATTTAAAAATGATATACTGTATGTTCCCGGATCATCTTTACAAGAGAAAAACACTTTTTTGTTATTAACATTTTGAGAAAAATACATTCATTTTAAAAGTTTTTGCTTGTTCTAATATAGCTAATCTCGTTTATACTTTTCCAAATTTACATAGTACCTATATGGTTTTACAGAAAAATAAAAAAATGCTAGCTGACCCTGATCATCATCTTGGATGATGGCTGATTGACTAAATGATCTGGAATGATTGAGACCAATCAATTTGTGAGTTATTATCATTTGGTCTCTATGTTTTTTTTACATTTCGGTACAAGTATTTTCTAGTATGCTATTTACCCACTGTTTTCCATTACATTTCTAGTTTCTAGTTTCAGTGGACTGCCACACCCTTTCTAATTTGAAGTTCAATAAAATACAAGTTTACTTAATGCAGAATGAGTTACATAGAGGCCACTAGCTTTTTAATTTTAGCAGCCGGGTGGTCGGGGTTCAAAGATATTAATAAAAGGGCGTCACGAAATTATACTCTATGAACTCGGCATAAAAGATGTTACTATTAAGTAGACTTCAACACTAACCTCGAACTGTTGAGTGCAACTACCTTGAACTTCAAATCTTACTATCATTATTTGAACTTAAGTCACTCTAACTTAACTATGAGACTAGACTGTAAATAATACTACTAAAAATATTTAAACAATATATTGAAATATTAAAAAGTTAAATAGGATATATAAAAAGTTATTATATAAAGAAAAGAAACGAATGAAATGTAATTGAAGGTAAATGAAAATAGATGTAAAGGGAAATGAAATTTAAATCAATAAAACTAAAAGTATGACGTCATAATCCCCCTTACTTAAACTAAGTACAAAATCCTGGGGAGATTACAAATATCAAACTAAATCTAAACAGTCTTACTCTAAGTCTTGAAATTACTCGGAAGTTCCTCCGGCTGAGCTACGGTGTATAGCTATGGGTGGCTACGACGGTGTACAGCAGCTCGATGTGATGTCACTGGAGCCCACGGATGTCAGCAGAGGTACAGATGGATGGCAGGTGTTTCAAATGATGAACATAAAAAACCCTAAATAACATTGGTTGTCTTAGAAAAGAGCCTCAATTATAGAACAAGGACTAGCACAACGTGTAGGAGTTAATAAAGGTAATAAAGAAGGACTAATCAAATCTGAACTTTACCTCAACGAGGGTTTATGATGTCCAACGGGTAACTCTACACACGGGCAACAGGAACGGATGAATTTCTGTACTGTTCTGTGCTGTACGGTCTGGATCGGTCTTCTTGCTCTACAATTAGGAACAACCAAATAAGACTTAAGAAAGATAACACTCAACTAATCTTTCTACACCACGTGGGCGTGGAAAAGTCGAAAACCAGACAACAATATGAACAAAAATCAGTTGAGCATTGACTTAGAATAGGCAGAAGAATTATAGCATACCTTGGAACTGTTCGGGGACTTCTTGGACACGTGGAATCGGGATATCGATCGGTCGGAAAAATTTGGCTATTTAATCCCATACGGAAATTGGTCGGTGGTCCATGTAAACTCAACAAAATCCAACCACGTCTCTGACCAAATGTGTTTCAGAAGCCTTAATCCTTCTTTACGAAGACCTGCTATTCACCAACAGGGAATGTTTCACGAAACGGCAGCCAGTTCTTCACGACGATATTCTGACGGTGGATACACAAGAAGTGATGCAAGGATTCGATTTCCTTCACAAAATCAGATTTCAACCGGAAATCTCTCTCCAGGATATAGATAGAGAACTATATATCTTGACTAGTCCAACTCACAAAAAGGCATAAATAAAAAATGATGTTTTCTCCTCAGTCATATTCCATATCCGGTCAATGAACGAACTAAACTCAGAAATTCCACAATTAAAAGAACGAATTGCACACTGCGATCCACATCAAAAATAACCAATTTAACTACGAAATTTTATCTGATAATTATAAAATTTCAATAACCAAAACAAAGGATAAATAAATCCAAAAACATCTGATTTGATCTGACAGTGACAAGTGACGGAGGTGATGATCAAAGATATAGAGAGATGGACAAAGAGCCTACTACTGCTGGTGTGCCTGGTCCAGTGACAATATTGTGTATCTATAATAGCGCGGTGTATATCGGGTTGCATAATTGTAAAATTTAAATAAATTAATATTTAACAATAAAATTATAGTAAACATGATGCAAAAATAATAGTTATTTGCGATAATTTATGAGCTAGCACACAGAGGTCGTTGCGAGGAAATTTGACTGTTACAGGACATCAATTATTACAAAAAAGCTAAATGCGTGTGTGGCGTGAAATTGCGTAAGATGGCAAAGTTGCATACCTAATTTATTTAAAAATTAATTTTCTGTAGGTATAATTTTTCAGATATTCTAATAGCTATTCTGCTATTCGGTTCGGAGACGAATCCAACAAAACAGAGATCATTAAAATCAGTCTGGTCGTTCTTGAGAATAGTGTAACTAACCCGGCCTTTGTTTTATTTGTTTTCCTAAAAATCAAAACACGTTTTTATGGCAATTATTTAGTTTTCATTCTTGAGAGATTATTATTAATTTTGATTATGACACCCTCGGTATTTTTTTACTTTATTCAATAGAAAATGACATTCTGAATAGAATAACATATCATATGTCAACTTTTGATATTTCCGCTTAAAACAAAATTGTATTTTAAATTTCAATCTAAAGTGTCATGGCTGTGTTAAAAACACTAATTTTTAATCAAGGAGCAGTGGAAAAATATATTTGATCGTCTGATGTTTTTAGTGTCTTGTCATGACCGGTTAAAAGATGCCCAAATCGTATTTTTAATTATATCTCAATTTTTTCAAATGAAATGAGGGTTTCTCATTAGCATATTTGGAAAAGGCATTTTTTTTACGAATAATTTGATACCACACACTTGGTATTTCGAGTCAAATTTTCGTTATATTATATTTCGAATAAACCATACGCGAAAATGTCAAAAGTTGACATATGATAAGTCATTCTATTCCAGAGTGTTATTTTCCATCGAATATAGCAAAAAAAATACCGAAGGTACCATTTAAAAATCAAAAGTTGTAGTCATTTCCGGTGAAACAGGAAGTGATCGTAAACAATTGAATACGTCAATCAGTACCAATTTATGTCATATACTAACATACCAAATTTCGTTTTTTAACTGAAAAAATAAAAAAGTTATAGGGGTGAGCCACTTTTGAGACGCTCCCCGTATACGAGATGGTTGTTTATGGTGAATTTTCACAAATTAATAGGATTTACTCTCTGATGTTTCTTCAACTAAGTATTTCTACTTTTATACTGGGGATGAAGTCTGTCCAATTAGAGAATAGTAACAGTTGTTGTCTGTCATTATAATTCGCAAGTAGTATTTTCTGTCATTTTTGGGATGTCATCTGTTCCAGTCTTTGCTGCCTTATTGGACAGTCTTTATATAACTGTCTCAATTAACCTAATTCTAGTAACTTAAATAATAATTAACTCGGGTAATAGTCATAAAAATTTCACACCAGTACTTTTTATCCAATGAAAATTGTTTATTTTGATAGGTCATCATGACAACACATGTATATTATAGAATATTTTTCTCTCTACGGTGGGTAACTAAATACCCAGAGAATAGGTACATTAAAGAAATGCTAACTTCATGTTAAAAAATGGAAACAGACGCCACCTGGTGCAGCCTGGCAGTACTAGCTAAATTGAGGGGAATTGGAGGGGCGGGGCTTAAAAGAGGGGAAATTTTTTAAAAAATATTTTTATAAGTATCACTGATTTACTGTTTAAAGTTAATAAACATATTTTTTATTACTTTAATATAATTTAAAGTATTAAAAAATATGTCTATTAACTTTACACAGCAAATCAATGATATTATTAAAGACTTATTATTTTCAGAGAAAATTCATAGTAAATAAATTACACATTTAGTAAACAATATCATTTATTTTTTAGAGCTGCGATTTATATTACAATAATATTGAAATATATATATTTTTTAACAATGAAAAAGAATATCCCGGAACCTGAAAAAGAAAGATGATCAATTAATGACTTAAATTAGTTCAAAATACATTTTGCAAATAACTAGTGAATTGGAAAGATAAACATACTATTAAAAAGACATTTTAGTAGTATATTATCATCTATTTACTGATAATACATAAGTATATAATAGGTAAATAACATGCATAAGGCACTATGATACAACTACCTGTATCATGATAACACACTAACATCACAAAAAATATATGCTAATTTAAATTTCTTTAATGGTCTAATGAAACACTATCTAGCCTCAATGCATGCCATTCCAAAGGCAAAAAAAACTGTTATACCAAATAAATATAAGCTGAATAAAACATAAACCAAGCCAATGTGCATAAACAACCAAAAAATGCATCAAAAAATACTTTTATCAGATCATGCCCTTGGATATATTATGTATTTTATATATCGCACATCCCGTTCAAAAGTTTACTAACTCAAAATAGAGAATATAGAGAACATTGTCAGGAGAAGTAAAAGAAAATTTAAGTTAACGCAATATGCTCCTTTTTGCATATTAATGGCCAAATAATGTAATGTTGATTTAATAAAAATTTAACTGGCATCCTTCTGAGGTATAAATCAGATTAAAAGGACATTGTTTTTGTAATAATTGTTTGTTCTGTAAACATTTTTTGAAGACAATACAGTTTTGAACGGGCTGTGCGATATAAACAAGGATCTTACTATTATTTGAGGTTATAAAGTATTTAAATAATATAAAACATAATCAAAATCATTTTTCATCATAAATTATAGAGGTACTTACGTGTTTTGATATTATTATCAGGAAATAATACGTTTAATTAAACAGGTACGCTGCCAGGCAAGTTCTATGGCGGGTCTTTGCAAAAAGTTGAAATCTAAAAATACAAAACTACGTTTACATCTTAGTTGTATTTACGAATACAGTATCTGTGTGTAATTTCTGACTTACCAGTTAATTGAATAATCGCATTAAATACATCCAAATGGTAATTTAATATTGTAAAAAGCAAAATTGTTTTAAATCACTTGCCAGGACAGCCGGCCAGCTTTTTTGTTGACAAAATGACCGCGGTATCATGATTTAAGCAATGTGAGTGACAAAGAAAGCCAATGCCTGGCAAATGTTGCTTTCTCTGTCGTTTATCCTGGCACGTTTAAATTTGACTGTTGCCTATTTTCCCATACAAGTGACACACCCGTGTAAATACCGTATTATCACAAATACCTGTGGTATTATAGTAAAAATTGATCGACATATAATGACAGAATATTGAATATTGACACAAATAGGCTAAAATGGGTGCGATTGTAACTTTTAAAAAAATTATCTTACAACTGCTTGACAGTGGAATTCTGTAAAACTTTCACTATACCCTCCTCGTAATTTTTTGAGTTCTGTTTGCACATATTATAAAGCCTTAATCTTCAAGAATAAGTGCCAGTTCTTTCACAGGTATTACAATGCTCCACAGTTGAGCATTAGAATCTTTAGTGAATAAGAAAATAAAACACTGATTCACCACAATACACCAAAACACTTATTAAGCACTGGTCGCGCGTTTCGCTAACCATGTTGTACATATGTTTTGATATGAGTGTATTGCGGTGAATTAGCGTTTCATTTTGCTCTATCTGCTCTGTCCAAATCATACGATTTTTCCAAGCAAAAGTTTGTGAAGTGCTTCCAACTTCTTAACTTGGATTTTTTTCTTTTACTGTTGTTTGACTGCTGAATCTCCTGACGAATACTCTCTTTCCTTTTTTTTACCACAACAAATCATTTTGCTCATGCTGTGCTACAGAAATTTTACTCCAAAACCGGCAGCTTTCATTCCTAAGTTTAATATTATAAGTCTTTTATCTATGACTCCTAAGTTAGGGTCAAAATCAATGAGAAAAGAATGTAACGCCCATATACCGGCTGCAGCAGAATTTGTGATGTTAGACGCCATTTTTTTGGTTGTAACGAATGAGTCATCAGCTAGTAATTTGTTCAGCTTTCAAGGGTAAAAGCTGCAGCGATAAAAAAGAGGTCGGCGTCGGCTGTTTACATTTTTCACTTGCCGTTCAATCTGGATGAATTAACGGTTCGTTGAACGCTTCTTTCAACAAAAGTAGGAAGACCGTCAACTTGTTCAATTTTAGTGTACACTTTGGATGAGACAGTGATGAAAGGAAATTTATACTTATCACTTTGGATGATTCATCCAAGTTGTACATCCAAAGTGACAAATGTAAATGAGCCTTAATATACCAAATCTCGTTTTTTTATCTGAAAAAATAAAAAAGTTATAGGGGGTAAGCCACTTTTGACATGCACCCGGTATGTACTTGCTATGATATACGACAATATGATACGTCGATACTAGTTTTGTACCTTTAGTTAACATTTTAATACGTTTTTTCCACAATTAATTAGTATGACACCACGGCATACACCATGCACCATAGGCGTAGTCATAACATTATTTGTCGAAAATATAAATATCTCTTCAAGCAGCTAAGTTAAGGAAAATATGTGCCACGGCACTGTTTGGAGGGATGGTAACAATTTGGTTTCGGATGTTATTAGTCCTTGTATTCTTTAGTCATTGGTCAAAATTGATATTTTATTTTACTCTGATTAGGGTTTTACCTGCACATGACAACTGAACTACAACACAACAAAACCTTGTAGTTTTGCTGGTGTCTTTAAACAGTACCTATAAATATTGTTTTATTAGATGTAACAATGACACTCTTTGTGGCGAGGCTGTACATTTGACATTGCAGGCGAGGCACAAAAACTCATTTTTACTCCGAATCGAACATGCTAATTTTTTCAAACGTCACAAATAAGTTTTTAAACAATTGCAAACACTGCAAATAATATAAAAATATTTAAAAGTAATACCTTGTAAGTACCTAATTATATGTCAAGAAACTATGATTACACTCGTTGAGTTTGGCACTTCATGTCATTTTAATAATATATTTTCATACTTTTATGTTTAGGCGTAAAAGTGCTTTTAAAATGACTTTTTATATTGTCAATTACGTAGCAATACTTTTGTAAAGTTTGAAAAAAAAAATATTTTATTTTATTTATTTAAAAATTAAGTACCATCACTTTCTACGTCGTCCAAACATTAATTCGCCTTTTCCTTTTTCAGGCATACCTACGTACGTACGACCATCGCGGCGGATCGTGCCGAAAAAATTCCACCGGTACGTTTTATTCGGCCTAACTAACCGAATCGGCGGCACAAGAAAACTTTTGGCAGTACCCGACGGCGTAGGTAGTACTACTTTAATTAGGACCGGTCATGAGGAGCCGATTCGCGGTACTTTTTGCCCTGATGGTGGCCGTGCTGATGGGGAACGTGGCGCAGGCCAAAGTGTACACCAAATGCGGCCTCACCAAAGAACTGCTGAATAATGGATTCGAGAGGAGTTACGTGGGGAATTGTAAGTCGGGTGAAGTATATGAAGGCAGAGGAGGGCGATAACCCGCCCTTGTTTACCTTATTAGGCTTAGAATGTGCCAAATTGATTCGTACTTATTTATCATATACAGGGTGGAAATTAATAAGTGCAAAAAATTCAGGAGGCGATTACTTTTTTATAGATAAGAGCTTATTTCTAGTGATGGGAAAATGCAAGAGCAAGACCAAGATCACCAAGGTCTTAGATTACCTCTAGGTTATATTCTCCAGTCCGATCCTTTGCACAAAGCCTAGCAACTTGAAGACTGACCCGTCCATATAGCTCTCTGTCAATGACCTATAATTGCCTATTACAGAGAACCGCACATTTGCCAGTGGTGGTATTCTTGACCCCATTCACAACTTTGTGTATACGCATTACACATATTTATGCATTATGCATTTACATATATAGGGAAATTAAAGTAACTTTGGTTGCACATCATAATACGACCACCAGCAAACTACATAAAACGACGCATGGTGTCATTGATGACGTGCAACCAAAGTTATTTTAATTTATGTATACGCATGTATTGTTATATGGAGATTATATATATTTCTCGGAGATGCTGTTGATACTTGAAGAGACAGGCTGTCGCATGGACATGCGACATGACAAGTAGTGTTCTGCAGTTTTTTCGTTTGACAGAACCTGCAGATGGCTTCATCCCTCAATCCCATTCACTACAGCTTTGACTGTTTTTCTGTCTTTGATTATCAGGTCTGCCTGATAAGCAAGGACAGAAAGGCAATCAAAACTGTAGTGGGTTTACTAACAGGGCATTGTAAGCTAAATAGACATCTAAAGCTGATGGGACTGACAGACGAAGCTATGTGTAGGTTCTGCCAATCTGAAGAACAAACAACAGAACACATTTTATGTCGGTGGGACAACCTGGCAAATGTGCGGTTCTCAGTAATAGGCAATGATAGGCGATTGCCAGGGAGCTACATGGAGGGTTCAGTCTCCAAGTTGCTAAACTTTGTGAAAAGGCTAGGAGTGGGGAATGTAATCTAGTGATTAGAAGAGGACTACAATAGATCTGATAAGGTCGCAGTGGATCAGGCCGAAAGCCACCTCTAGAATTCTAATCTAATCTATCAGGTCTGCCGTGAATTTTGGCGAATGTTCTATTATGAACTTTTTCGCTTGTCTCTGCCCTTGTGAATTTCTCCACCATTTTAGGGATTTTTTGGTCACCCATCGTTTTCTGGCCATTTTCGTGACTACTTTTGCAACGCCGCAGAAGAGTTCTGGGCGTATGAGTGGCATTGATGAGTCTTGTTGGGCCATTTCATCTGCCTTTTCCCTCGTGACCTGATACCTTCGTGACCTGGTATTGCCCTTGTGACCCCTGTGAACCTCGTGTGAACCTCAATGTCCCTTGCTCTTGATCTTAAGGTACGCGTGTCGAAATAGAATCAATTCACTTAACTTAAATTAGACCGTTCAGGCAGACAACGCGCTGTCTGTTCAGGCTGCAGCGTCGCGTTTAACGTCGTGCTAGCGTCCGCTGAGCGTCGGGGTTCGAGTTCAATGGGCGGACGCGACGCAAACACGACGCGACGTTCGACGCTCTCAGCCTGAATGTACCTTTACTGCTCTGACAAGTCTCGCACTTTTTTTAACAAGATAAATTTCAACATAGAAATTAATTAAATTAAACATTAAATAAATAGTATTTTAAGTAATTTAATTCAAATAAAACACAAATAATTTTGATCAAATATTAAGTTTTTATATGATTAAAAACAGACGAGCGCCTTATCTAATAATAACAATATTCGGTATGTTTCGTATACAGGTACGGACGAAAAGTTATTACTCTGCAAACCAGTTAAAAAATATGTAGGTGGCGCCCTCTACAAGTAGGAGTCATATTGACATCAAAATCAAATTTTTCATGTCAAAAAACCTCAAGACACCAATTGTCATCCAAATATTGACGTTACTTCAGAAATTATTTGGAAAAAATCGAAATAAAAATGTAACTTCTACACCCTGTATCTTAGAAACTAAGCATTTTAGGATCTACATTTATACGAACTTTTTTACTTATTTTTATCTGCAGAATATACTGCCGAAGTTTCCGGCATACAATTCGGACCACCCTGTATATATCTACGTAGGTACTTACTATCTATCTAGGTATAAATATTTCTTCCTTTGTGTCGATTTAAGAATTTGTTATATTTGTCCCATACCTGAAACAGAAAAGAATATATTAGAAATAAAGTAAATAAGTAATATTACAGAGTGATCTACAATCAATCAATTCACTACATATGAATTGAAATAATTGGCAAGTTTTGAGTTTGTTATTTTTGTGAAATCGACATATTTTTCATTGTAATAAATTACTATTTTGCACTATCTATAACTGTAGTGTCCCAACATGGAAAATAAATATTCACATAATCAAGGCGTATTTTCATCCCGGTGTTCAAAACAAGGTTAGAAATTGAACGTAATCAGCAAAGTAACTTTTAATCAATACAGGGTGCCAATTTTGATCGCGTTTTGTTATCAAAATTTATGACATTTATTAAATAATTAAAATTAGAAAACCTTCAGATTAAATTCATTTATTTATCACCTCGATATGATTAGTCTCAGATTATTATGGAAAAGGCATTTAAATATGGTAAAAAATTAATAATCTATAATTTTTGGTTTATTTTGTCACTAGTGATAACAGGTAAATAGTAAAATTTCTTATTATTATTGCTAACCAAACGAGCAAAATCTGAATAGATGTTTCAATCGTTATTGATCGCTTGGTAAATAATTCAGAAACAATTTTAATCAAGAACTTCAAAAAATCATAATCAAGAACCAAAAAATTCAAAATAAGATATAAAATTAATTTTAAAATTTCTGGGAATTCCTATATAATCAGTTCCAAAAATGTTAAATATATTTTCTCCAGCTGATATATGTTATGTTTGATGCTAGGAATCTACTCCCAAAAATGTAAACACACTTGTCCTTGATATATTGACATTGCAACACTGATTAACTAAAACATTCCAGACAATTTTATTATTGTTATGTATCTCTATCTATATCCTATTATTTTTGTGTATTTTGTTGTGTCTACAGTATGTCCCCGAATTGTCTTTACAAGAGGAAAAACTTTTGCTAAAAATCATAACGCGTTTTTATGGTGATATAATTTCGATTTCTTTTCATTTATTCTTTGATAGATGGTTATTATTAATTTTCATTAACGACATATGTTTGCTGTTGTTAAAGTATCACATTTTCCGATAATTATTATTACCCTTTCCCTAACATCGAACTAAATAAATATTGGGCTTCTTTAACATTTAAAAACAGAAAAAAATATGACGTCTATTAAAATTATATCAATAATAATCTATCAAAGAATAATAACGAAATTAAAAAAAAATCATGTTCATTTTTAATTTTCTCTAAAACGGTATGGAAATTTGGAAAAGTATAACCGTATACACTACTGGCAAAGGAATATTAGCAATAGGAGGTTTTCAATGCGATAAAAAAAGATGGTAAGGCTGCAAAATACACTGCAGTGCAACAGAGACGGATAAAGTGTCTTTTCCCTACCATCGTATAGGGGAAGTGATCATAGAAGTGATACGACGAGAGAGCCCCTGCGAGAGGGGGCGCCGGGCGGGTCTTTAAGACGCTTGTGTGGGGGCTACCGCCTACTAATAGAACAGAATCGAAAAAATAGAAACAGGACGGACAGTGTTGCCATTCAATTAAATCGAAATTATGTTGGCTTGTCAAAATCCTAAATCTTCTAATCCCATTATCTTGCCTACTTAATGAAATATTAAATAAAGTACGAAACAATTTTACGAATGTTTTCTCTAGGCACATAACTTCTTTCTAAAACGAAAAGTAACATGCAAAACTTTGATATCATTTCTAAAATAGCAAGTGCAATTCTATGAAATGGCAATACTGTACGATCTTCCTAGCAGTCGCCCCGACACAGTCGGTCGGCGGCGGCGCTTCACAAAGCCGCGGCTGTGACAAAGGAATTAGGCCGAAAAAAACTTTATAAGGAGTAGACGAACAGGGTTGCCGGGTTTGTTAGATTATAATTCCATACGAGAACAAAATTCTCGGTAGATCTTCAACAAAAATTAAAAGTACAGAAACGAAATAAAATATAATATTTAAGTCCAAAATTAGCATTCCTATGTGTCGTAATAATAGATCACTCAAATAAAATACAAATATAATAAATATAACAAGAATTAGAAATAGCTAGGTATATTATTTAATATTAAAAAAAATATTGAATTAAATAATATTAATATATTAATAAAAACATATAAAACTATAACAAGTAGGGATAGCAGTCACAAATTAGTGTAGCAGTCACTTTTTACCTTTGTACAAATTTTGATCAGTGATATCTAAAATTAATTTCATTTCAATGGGAAGCTGTAGCAACTCTCAACTCTTTTTCATATTAATATTTTTTTGACGGGAAAATCACTAAAATATTTGTCCGAATTTAGGTTGTTTCTTAACTTAAATTTTGTTTTTTGTTTACATTTTTTGGGGAAAATATGGGTTCAACTTTAGTAGATGAATGAAATAAAATCTTTTCAAAAGATATCAACTTCTTCGGGCATGTCGCCAATACCGCGCCTAATAAGGAGTAATAAGGAGTAATAAGGATTTTTAGGAATATCTCTGTAACTCTGCAACTAGACAGAACGATGACCTGTATGTGTGTTATTACTAAATAAAATTTAATGAAACAATAATAAAGTCAAATTATACAGATTCCAACACGGCAGTCGCTTAATTTTTAGTCAAATAAGTCAGCTTTTTATAAGTGCTTCTATTGTAAAAACTAAAGACGCAGTTGAATATATCGTTAGATTTTTCTTTAAATCGGTAGATCGGTAGCTTACAGACGAAACCGGTAGACCTGGCAACTCTGTGATGAACTGACGGGAGTCAGAATAGCGAGGTGCGGAGGCGCGGGAAGGGAAATAAAATAATGGCGATAAATAAAGGGCAGGGAGATGGGTATCATGAGTGATGGGAGGTGGCGGAATTTCCAAAATTTGTTATCTTATTGGAGTTTGTCTAAGTAGACAGTCGTAGTGGAAGTGGAAACGGGGAAATTGTTGTCCATCTCTGTTTAAGCATAGACTTTTTATAGGCGTTTCATTCCAATGCATGTAATTCCTATGCCTAGAGATCCATTGCCGGGCCTGTATATCCCGTTTAGAACAAGCACATATTTTTATAAAGAATGCATTTTTCTCAAAATGTCAGTAATAAAGAAGTTTTTCCTCTTGTAAAGACAATCCGGGTACATACTGTATATTGTTTTATAATATTCCTGATGATTTTTTTTATTTATAGGGGTTTGTCTTGTTGAAAGCGAGAGTGCCAAAAATACATCTAAAGTTACCGACAAAGCCGACCGAACGAAATCCTTAGGGCTCTTTCAGGTATATAAAAATTGAATTTATATATTTTTGCTTTAATAATCTCATAATTATTTTAAAAGGCATACCTACGTATACCTAAAGCCGGTCCCACACGATGTGGCAAACACCTTCCAACGTTGGATACATAAACATTTGCCACATCGTCTAGGAGACACTTGTCAATTGCAATATTATCGAAACCTATGCCAAATGCTGGTTACAACTTCGGAACCAACGTTGGATGCATCATGTAGGACCGACTTAAACATATTATATAGTTAACTCTATTTATAAAACAGCCCTTACAGTAGGTACTCGCGTAGTAAGCTGTACTAGGTCAAAGTCGAATAGCGAAGAAGATTATTTTGTGTTTCCTCGTCTAAAATGAAACTATAAGCCGAGAGAAGGAAAAGTTAGATCAAGAAATTTAAAATAACCCTCTTCCCAATCGACCTAGACCTACTTCGGCATACTTCGCGAGTAGTGTAGTAGTCGTTTATGATTTTATGATATTATAATATACCAAAATTCTTAAGGTAAAAAAACATGGTTGAAACATATCAACATCTTTTTTTAAAATGCTTATTGTATACCGGGTGCCACTCGAAAATGGCTCACTCATATAACTTTATTATTTTTTAGATAAAAAAAAACGAGATTTAGTATGTTAGTATGACATAAATTAGGATTGATAGACGCATTGAATTGTTTTTGGTCACTTCCTGTTTCACCGGAAATGACTACAACTTTTGATTTTTAAATGGCACCCTTGGTATATTTCTACTTTATTCGATAGAAAATGACACCCTGATTAGAATGACATATCATATGACAACTTTTGACGTTTATATTTAAAAAAAATCGGATTTAAATTTCAATCTAGAGTGTCATAATGGCTGTGTTAAAAACACTAATGTTTAATCAAGGAGCCTTGGAAAGATAGATTTGGTCGTCTAATGTTTTTCGTGTCTTGTCCTGGCCGGTTAAAAGATGCCCAAATCGTATTTTTAATCATATCTCAATTTTTTCAAATGGAACAAGTGTGGCTCATTAGCATATTTGGAAAAGGCATTTTTTTACGAATAATTTGGTACCACACAGTTTGGTGTTTCGTATTTTGAGTCAAATTGTCGATATGTACCGCCTGTTCAAATAAACCATATGCAAAAATGTAAAAAGTTGACATAACATCTGTCATTCTATTATATATAGTATCATTTTCTATCGAATAAAGTAGAAATATACCGAGGATGCCATTTAAAAACCAAAAGTTGTAATAATTTCCGGTGAAACAGGAAGTGACCAAAAAAATTGAATACATCCAATAAATCCTAATTTATGTCATATACTAACATACCAAATCTGTTTTTTTTATCTGAAAGAATAAAAAAGTTATAGGGGGTGAGCCACTTTTGAGACGCACCCCGTATATTTAATGCAATTTATGTTGTTCTTGTAGTAATTCATCAATATGTTCTTTATTAACAGATAAATAGCAAGGATTGGTGTAAATTTGGCTCGGTAGGAGGAAAATGCCAGATAAAATGTGAAAGTAAGTCTATACTGCTTGGTTCTTTGAGTATTAGTGTGGGTTTACAAGCATCCGTAACGTGTCGTCGAATTTCAAAAATGACAGATCATACTTGAACATGACTGAAGCGACTAAACAACGAACGACGCATGATGGATGCATATAAATCCACACTTAGTCCTAACTTTTAACATTAACCCTAAAAAATTAACTTTAAGAACATAAAGAAATGCATAGTAAATGTTGTTCATGTTTCTCCCACTTGTCTTATGCACTTGCGCTCATATATAGTTAGTAAACATGCATTTGTTCATAGAAAATTTACGCGTACAAAGACTTATTCTTAGAAATACGAAAAAATCGAGACAGGATGTTCACGAAATAAATACAAATCGTTTTTTTATGGAAAATTTTAACAGCTGAACTTAGCGTGAACTTCTGTAATCTTCATTATTTATCATAGGAGATATCATTATTCGCGGCAGGTACTGTAGGCTACTTCTTCTTTGACACGTCTACAACCAATAAAACAGAATAAAATGACCGGACAGTAGCAGCGATGTAGTTCTAAATTCAAGCAAAAAAAAGCCCGAGTTGTGCACCGCGCAGCGCAGCACAGCAGTGCTCGTCAATGTGAACTATTGAGAACCCACAGTTTGAATTATTTACTGTGGCAATATGGACACGCACCAATAGATAGATTCATAATAGTCCAATCATAATAGAGAGACAATAAATACCATTTATAAATCGTCAACACGTATTAAATTAACCTTAAGAATAAAAACTATTCCATATTCTATCTACTCTAAACTAAAATTTAATAGAATAGGATTTATTTCATATATAAATTTGTCTTGTGAGCCATAATACTGTCCAACAACAATTTGTATCTGCAATACCATAAACACATCCCGATTTCGTGTGTAACGCCCTAAAGCCCGACCCGTTTATTTCCCAGATAGCCGGGAATTAATTTAAGTTATCTAGCTTTTGCAGCAAACTATATTGGTCTGTGTAGTAGAGTTCCACTCAAATTAGGATTAGATAAGACGCCTGATGAAATACGGGTATATTCGGCGAACAACAACAAGATTATTAATAATTTGAATTATCAGAACTGTATTACCTACCTATTTTGGAATAACATAAGAATATTGTAAAATATAGGTACCTACAAATAAAATCCATGATAAATATACAGAATAATTTATTAAGTAGCAATCGTAAATATCTGTGATTGTATTGTATTTTACTAAGAGTGAGTCCCAGGTGGGACCCTCCACTGAGGCCGCGAGGGCCTATTGTGGCTCAGTTTCTACAAGCTCTTTAATAGAAAAAGAGCATTAAAGTTCGCCCTCAAGACCTAGCCTTCTAACATAGGCTGTTATGTCCGAGGGTGATATGTCTTCTAGGTCTGATAAGTCAAACCAACACATTTCCGCAAATAATAAGCCGTTTCTCGGCTTATCCCATTCGTCCCTATTCGGAAACAGGACGTTGTAGATGCGCATCAAGAGTTGGATTGGTGGTGTGAGATCCGAGACCATTCCCAGAATCTCATCCGATTGTAGTTCGTCTACTAGTCGGTTTTGTATGAACATGATTGTTCCTTGGCTCTCTCGTGCCATATTTAGAAACCTATATGTAGCTCATCTCGCCTCCCTCTCCAAAATAATTTGAAGAGGAGGTAAGTCGAGTAGGGTTTCCATAGCTTTTGACGGCGTAGAATGAAAGGCACCAGTCACCGCTAAGCATGCTTGTCGTTGTAATTTTGACAGTTTATTCTTTGCCGCTGTTTGGTTGGCTTTCTGCCACCAGGCAACTGCGCCATACGTGATAATAGGTCTGATGGCTGTCACGTATAGCCAGTACATATTTTTGGGGTTTAATCCCCAGTTTCTACCACAAATTCGGCGGCATGCCCATAGAGCATAGCAAGCCTTTTTTGATATTTTTTCCAGATAGGAGTTCCAGCTAAGTTTTTAATCCTAGATACTTAACTTCCTCCGCAAACGGAATTGTCTCACCAAGAAGACTGGGCGGTTTTAGTTTGTCTGTTTTCCTTCTTCTGGTGAATGGTATGATCACGGTTTTCTGTGGGTTTACACTTAATTGTTCCAGTGTGCATCAGCCGTGAATTGCATCTAAGACTTCCTGTATTTTTGAGGAGATGTCCTCCTCTTTGTGTCCTTTTACTAGGATTACCAGATCGTCCGCGTATGCCTGTGCTTCAACCTCATATGCATCGATGATTGCCATCAGGTCATCCGCTAACAGGGTCCACAGAAGAGGAGAGAGAACTCCTCCTTGCGGGCATCCCCTGCCCGGAACAAACCTGACGGGCTCACCGCTGAGCGAGGTCGTTACTATTCGATTTTTGAGCATTTGCTCAATCCATTCAGTTATGGTTGCTTCAACTCCTCGGGCTTTTACAGCACCTAGGAGCGATTGAGGGGTAACATTGTTAAATGCTCCCTCAATGTCTAAGAATATCCCTACCGCAATTTCCTTGCGATGAAAGGTGTTCTTAATTTCCCCCACCAAATTGTTGAGGGCCAGTTCTGTTGATTTTCCCTGCTGATAGGCATATTGTCGGACATTCAGGGGATTAGACGTAAGGATCCTTCCCCTAATATGCCCATCCAACACCTTCTCCAGGGTCTTCAGCAGAAATGATGTAAGGCTTATTGGTCGATATGAGTCAGGTTGTAGGTTTTGTTTCCCCACCTTCGGTATATATACCACCTTTGCTCTCGTCCAATCCGCTGGCATGTGTGACCACGCCAGACTAGCCCTAAATATCTGTGATATCAAGAAGATTTAAAATTCATATATCCAAGATTGGAAGACTTAAAAGCCATACATACAGGGTGAGTCTTAAATAAGTGCAAATATTTTAAGGGGGGGGGGGGGTAATATATTTCGACTTCAGAAACACGATTATGAGTTTTTCTTCGCGAATTTTTTTTTGAAAATTTGGAATTTTTTGAAAACTTTTTTAGATTTTTTTTAGTTTTTAGTTAAGAAACAAAATTTCTTGATAATATGGCAACATAGGTAGTAAATTAAATTCACAAGGAAGGAAAATGCAGAATAGATCCAGTGGTTCTCAAAATTTTAGCAAAAAATCTTTTTTGGAAATTTTCAAAGTAAAATAACTTTGAAACACGGTAAAGAGAAAATGTGTTTCTTTTATCGAGATCTAGAGGCTCATCCTGTATATACAAAGATTCTAATTAACACAAGTTCGTAGTAGAATTATCTTGATATACAGGGTGTCAAAAAATTGTGTATCTAAATTCGGTGGGTGATTCTGCGGATAAAAATAAGACAAAAAATTCCTATGAACATATGCCTTAAAATGCTTCCCGAAGAAGTTACAACCCTCAGTAGTTTTAGGATTTAGATTAGTTTTGATAACGGTAAGTGATACATCTGAAAGAAACGTTGTAAGCTGGGAGTTAACTTCCAACCTAACTGGGAGTTAAGTTAACAAACCAGTTCCTAACAAATACAGGAGTTAGGCAGGGATGTGTCTTCGGGCCTCTTCTATTCAACATATTTATGGCAGCGTTCTCTATTATCGTAGACAGTAAACTGCAGAAAAGAGGAATGGACATTAGATTCGACGGTGCCGGCGCGCGGCGGCGCGGCGGTCTGTTCAACATAAAAAGACTCAGGGCAAAAACACGTACAAAATTCATCACAGAACTTCAATACGCTGATGACAAGAAATGCTGAACACATATACCTGGGCAACCGAGGTTTTCGGTCTAAAGCTGATCATCGATAAAACTAAAATCATGTGCACTCCCCCGGAAAATCATAACAGTGCTATAAAAGTCGGAGAAGAACTATTGGAATATGTAGCGGAATTCAATTACCTCGGCGGATTAATTTCGGAAAAGGCCAATATCGACTCTGAAATTCAGCACAGAATTAGCAGCGCCTCAAGAGCATTCTGGAAATGAAAAGACAGGTTTTTCTAGACAGGGGTTTCTTTTGGCGCAGGGCAACAAAATAATGAGATTTTTGAATGTCCGGAGTGCGGAAGAGTGATAACATCACGTATCGGACTTTTCAGTCACAGAAAAGGCCATGAAAGCACAGAAAAGCTCATGACAAGCTTACCTTGTGTAACCATGTTCTGATGCATGTCAAATACTTGTCATCGAGTAATGGCAGTCAGGGGGGTGACAGTAAACCGGAAAATTGGAAACAGTTCTGGCGCGGTCCTACCCAGGCAGAAAGCATGGCTTTCTAGACTGTCCTAGACAAAAATCTGAATATTTCTATATGATTTCTGTCAATTCCTGTTACGGATCATTTTTATGCACGTCGGTGTCCTCTTCTTTTGTCTGTGTGTCAGCCATGTGTCGTGTCAACTCCCGAGGCCTCTGGCAAGGTCGGGCGCCATTTTAATTTTTGCCGTTTAGATTTGATTGGAAGTTTGTTTATGATATTTCGGCTTAAATTTATAAGTACAAAGAGGTTTTTTGTTATAAAGTTCCTTGTTAACGCTTTAATAAAGTATATATGATATTAATTACATGAAGAAAATGATGAAATCGACGTTTCTGCATGTAGTAGGTATGGGCCATATTATATGTAAAAATAGGTAATATATTAACTGTTTTTATATTTTTTTAGCTTTAGACCCAAGGATCTTGGGATATTCTTTACCAAGGATTAGACTGATGGGTGATTTTGAGCAATTGAAAGCAAGTTATACAAGGTAAATTATGATTATTGAACTATTATTAGCCTACAGTTATCTATAAGATGAACAGAAATGCGTAATTAATCACATATGTATTTTCATAGCAATAATGCAATAAATCTATGTGCAGGGGCGGATACAGGAATTTATTTTAGGGGGGGCCCAAAATAAAAAGCAATGTAGAATATGCTTTTTAGGGCGCCATTTTTAACCAAAAAGCCTAATATTTTACACAATTTACAGATTTTAGGGGGGGGGGCCGGGCCCCATGGGCCCCCCTCTGTATCCGCCACTATCTATGTGTGTAGATTATTTTTAAAATACAAATAAGGTATTAGATGTATATGTATCATATTTTTTATTCATTTTATTTTCATTCAAGTCCTGTTTGATTTAATTCACAAAAGTCTTATGTACCTATATTTATGTTTTTTTACATAATTTTTTTTTATTCCAGGTTTTGTGTGGGTTACTGTTGTCTTTTTCCTGCTTCCAGTTATTTAGTTTTACGCCCGTGACGCTGTGAAAACATTTATTTATCTTCAAATTTCTGTAAGCCAATGCACTCTGTTACTTTACTAATTCACTTTAACACAGTATCTCTGATATTATTTAAATAGTTGATATTGATACAGTAGTTTATGTGTTTATAGCTCTTTAATTTTGTTGATTTGTATATTTACATTGTTCTAAATTCCAAATAAATATTTTTGAGTAATTTTGTTGTATTATTTACTACTAGAAAGAGTAAAAAGTATATTAACCCTCATTTAAACCTTCTGAACAGCCCGCCATTAAAAACCAGAAACGGAACTAAATTTCATAAAATTGAAATTGTCATGTCTATGTCATGTCAAATGTCCCAGCCGCCATATCTGAAAATTAGTTACCCAGGCAGCCACGCTGTTTCCATAATTTAACATTGACTTGACACTTCTTCTTGTATTTATTATTTTATGATGGCAGTAAGTAAGTTAACGAAAATAAAAAAAATGGAAGGCCGACATTCTTTTAGTATCGATCTGTCGCCACATTCAAAGAAACGTTAAAAAAGTCGTGTTAACCAAATTTTATTTTAGCGTCCGTTAGTAAGACAATAATTTAAAAGTGCCAATTTTATTATTGTCAGTTAAAACCTAAGGTTAAAACCGAGTACCTAACTAAACCGTACTTAAACCCAACGATCTGGCGTACAATTTAAATATTCCTTCTCATCTTGTTCGATGAAAACGGCAGCGGCGGGAAAATTATGGCTCCCACACGTATTCAGCCTCGAAACTTTCCAGTTCAAAGGCAAGTTAGCGAAGACCTCTCGAGAGGGTGCTCTCGACTCTGTTGTGCACTTTAAGTGGCGCAATCTGTTTAAGTAGCTCGCGCGATTTTTGTTGCTCTTCGCTGCACGATTCGTTGACGAAAGTGGAAATTGTAGCTGCGGAGATCTTAAGCAAATTAGTTAATGGGCAGGAAGTAAATTGAAAGTGTGGGTTTATTAGAAATCTATGTAAAAAATGCAAAAATAAATTTATATAAAATTCTTGGTCTTTGTTCGAATCAAATGAAGATATGTACAGGGTGTCCCATTTTAGTTGAAATCATATTAGTAAAGATAGGAGGATGCCGTTTGCACAAACCTATGCCACTTTTTTGTCAAACGGAAGATGTTGTAAACAAAATTTTCATAGCCCTCTTCGTTTCTGAGCTACAGGGTCTTTTAGAAAATTTTGCTATTTGGAACAGTCCCCGTATCTCCTTTATTATCGATGATATCGAGAAGGTGAAAACTGATTTTTGTAGAACTTTTTACGTAGCATACAGTAGCGTAGTCTGTTTTTCTACGAAAAATTTTTTTTGGAAATTATGAACTAAAGTTATGTTTTTTCAAATGGAATGCCCTATATATTTATAAATCATATGATCCGGCTTGCTAGGAGCTTCTCAAAAATATATATGAATCTATATTTCTTTTCACTATTTACTGCACTATTTAAAATATGTCATTTTCTTATTATAATAGGCTGTGATAGATAACAAAAAAATCAAAATGGTATTTACTCAAATAGTCATGTACATATTAAACTTTTATTTGGAATTGATATATTTTTCTTTTGAACTGTTACCACTGAATCTCTAAATACATTTTTCTTTTTTTTTATAACGGAATTTATTACAACGGGATGGGTTTGCGTTGTAAACGATAGCTTCCAAGATTTACAAATAGCGGTAGAGAGTTAAGTTTCCCTAATATATAAAGAATTTATTAGTGGCTCCCAAAATAAAAGAAGAGGCAGATAGTAGTATACTTTTAATAATTCTTTAGTTTCTTTTATTATAAATCATGGCCTACTAATAAATATGATCTTTTAATAAAATGTTTTAAATATTGCAGTAAATAGTGAAAATAAATATAGAGTGATATATATTTTTGAGAAGCTTATGGCAAGCCAGATCATATAATCTATAAATATACAGGGTGTTCCATTTAAGAAAACATAATTTTAGTTCATATCTTTAAAAATATTCTTTTCGTAGAATAACAGACTACGCCAATGTACTACAATAAACAGTTTTCACCATCTCTCGATACCTTTAACAATAACAGAGATACAGGAGATGTCTCAAAAAAAGGCCCTGTAGCTCGGAAATGAAGGGCTATGAAACTTTTGTATATGGCATCTTCCGTTTGACAAAAAGTGGGACAGGTTTGTGCAAACCGCGCCCTTCTATCTTCACTAATAATGGAGATACCCTATGTTTTCAACCGAAATGGGACACCCTGTACAGGTTGATTCCAGGATATCAGATTCGTTGAGGAGATATAGTTTCTTATAGGCTTGGTGCATTCTTCGCCGGTGCTGCCACCATCGAAGAATATCGTAAACTACTAGTATATACAAATACACGGGTTTAAATACAGGGTGGCCCATCGAAAACGTTCCGCAAGGCATAACGGCCAGGGTATTTTTTTTGTCAAAAAATCCAAAAACACAGAGGGGGACAACTTTTGCCCCAAAAACGATTGCAAAATCTTCAATCCTCTAAGCGGGAGTGTCATCCCCCAACTTTTTTCAAATGGGAAGGGGGGTCAAGTGGCACCGCAATGAAAAGAGCTTTCTATTCTCTATATTTCCCCGCTTCGTTTTTGAAAATCGGTAGAGTCTTTGAGAAAATATGAAGGATTGAAATTTGAAAAGTTTATTTAAACATTTATCAAAGTAAATGATAATGATAAATTCCATCGACAAATTTGCTGTTTTTTCTTATTATTTCTAGATGTTTACGCATTTTTTCACTTGCCACAAGGTTGAACGATCAGTTGCGGTAGTTGCTAGATAGCTGTTCTGTGACTTGTGCGTTGAAGTTCTTCTCAATATCGTTCAACTGACCTACAATAGAATTTCCAAAAATACCAGCCCACACGTTCAATTTCTGAGGGCTTTGTGTATGCACCTCGTGAAAACCCATGGGGTTGTCCTCAGCCCAGTACCGACAGTTGTGCCTATTAACTACATCGTTCAAAAAGAAAGTACGCTCATCCGAAAAACACACATTAAATAGGAAATTATTATCATTCGCCACTCGTTCACTCATAGTTTCACAAAATTGCAAGCGACGATCAAAATCGTCTTCGTTAAGTTCTTGTACCAACTGAATTTTGTACGGGTGGAACTTGTGTTTTTTTTAATATCCTTTGGACACTTTTACGATTCACGCCGGTCTCATTGGCTAATTTTCTTGTACTCAGCGTACTATCCATGGCAACTTGGCCCAATACGAATACCTCCATAGCTTCATTTACTACAGGCTCTGCCTCTTTTTATTCATAACGGAACCAGTTTTGCGAAATTTTGCTACTAACTCGCGAACAATTTTGCCATAAAGGTGTTTGTCAGGATAGCGTTCGTTGAATATGTGCGCAACCCGATACATTCATTATTATTAAAATAAAGTTCGATTATTCCCACTTTTTCTGCAAGTGAGTACACCATAATTGTTAAGAAGCTTAACGATATTGAGAAGAACTTCAACGAACAAGTCACAGAACAGCTATCTAGCAAATACCGCACCTGATCGTTCAACCTTGCGGCAAGTGAAAAAAATGCGCAAACATCTAGAAATAATAAGAGAAACCCTCAAATTGGTCGAAATAATTTATCCTTATGATTTACCCTGATATACGTTTAAATAAACTTTTCAAATTTCAATCCTTCATATTTTCTCAATGACTCCCAACGTTCCCGATTTTCAAAAACGAGACGGGGAAATATAGAGAATAGAAAGCTCTTTTCATTGCGGCGCCACTTGACCCCCCTTCCTATTTGAAAAAAGTTGGGGGATGACACCCCTTAGCTTAGAAAGTTGAAGATTTTGCAATCATTTTTGGGGCAAAAGTTGTCCCCCTCACAAACAAAATTGACGTGTTTTTGGATTTTTTGCGGAACGTTTTCGATGGGCCACCCTGTATACGAGTGCGAGTATACGAAAAAAAAATATTATTTAATTATTCCAAAAGTGTTAGGAAGTATAATTTGTGAAAATTCTAAAAATAAAAATATATAAAAAAGTAAATATTTTGATATATTTAGAAGGTCTATCTTGTATTATAATTTATTATTCTAACCTCACTAAACAAATCAGTGAAAGTGAACTTTTACTAGTAATTGCAAAAAATCACTGCTTTCTGACTTTTACTGTAATATATTTTTTCTTAATTTCTGTTCCAGATCTCATAGACGAGAATATCCAAGATGACTCTATTTGCGCCCGCAAAATCCAAAGGGAATTGGGATTCCGCGCTTGGGACGGCTGGCTTCGGAGTTGTTATGGGCGGAGGCTATCCATTCCACCTTGCTAGTGTCTGCATCACACCTATTCGATAGCATATATCTATTATACTGGTTGTAACGAAGTGATATGTGCACCAAACTTTACCACTAATCTCTAAGTAGAAGACCAAACATAATAAAACTGTTTAGGTTATAAACAAAAAATAATATACTTGTTTACTAAGCTTCATTTTGATGTTTTGTAGAAAATTTAAATTAACAACAGCAAAATAAAACACTAAATCACCACAATACACCAAAACACTTTTACTTTTAAACTGGACGCGCGTTTCGTTAACCATGTTAATATCATCAGTCATCAGCAGATGATTAAAACTGAAATAGTTTGCTGTTGTAACACCCAAAGTTCCAACCCCCAACTATAACTTGACTAGGCTAGACAGAATCCTAATTTTTATATATCATACGCTACGCAGATGATACTGTGATTAAACAGGTATAAACATAACTTAAACTCGAGTTCAAATGAATTCTGAAAAACGCTGGAATCAGCAATTCTATTTAGGTAAATTTTTCTTGCAGTATACGATTAAAATATGATAAAAAGCCCAGTTTAATCTTACCTCAATTTCAATCGTGAAATATCTAATTTTTAAACTAGGTTCAACGATAAAAATTCATTGAACAAAGTTTTAAAATCATTGTCAAACCAGAAATGTTATTTTGTTCGTATTGTTGTGGACGTAACTAATTCACAACTACTTTTCAGCTTCATTCAGAACCTCGCAATTAGTGGAATAAATTAGTGGTTTCAATTAGCGTAGAAGTTTGTTCCTTTAATTTCGATGTGAGCATTCAGAACGTCAAAATTAGTGGTAGACATTTTCAATTAGTAGAAAAAGTTGTCAAACTTTTACCTTTTCCACTAATTAAAAACTACTTCAAAATTTGCGAGAAATATCATTTTGGCCTTTGATTATCTTCCGTCAAGAGGAATTGTGGTTATAAATCAAAAGTTGATAGGTTTTATAAGCTAAATATGAGGTTTTCTCTATGGATACAACTGACTAAAGCAAGCTGTTGCTAGGATATGGCTAGGATATTCTATTAATTTTAATTCTGTTTTTTAAGCATTGTGAATGATCGTAAACCAAAAAGGATAAAGTGTAACTGAAACCACTAATTTATTCCACTAATTGCCAGGTTCTGAATGAAGCTTTAATCATAAAATTGATAAAGTTTGGTGAACGCAATCGTGCCCCTCTATAATATAACAATTTTATTGTACCGAGTGTCCTTCATTGTTATGTACTTATAGATATATATTTAATAGACCTCTTAAGATTAATTTTAAATTAACGCATAATTGTGCTGTATATGTGATTTTGTATTATACTTTACAGATCAAGTAAAAAGGGTACAGTTTTATGGACCAAAAGATTTATATAAGAAAAAGGAAAATTCTTCAAAAAAATGGAATAGGAGATAAAAATATAGTAATTCTAATATATTTTTTTTTGTTTTATTTAAAAATAAAAGTCAAAATAATACAGTTTTATTGTCTAAATTGTCCACAAACAATACCTGAATGTACCATTATGTTATTATGGCATATCATCGTGGTAGCGGAGGCTGATATAACATGTAGTAGGGGGGGGGGATGTAACATGTAGTACCTGGCGCCAGTTTCACTAGGAACCCAACACTGGCATTACATGTACCATGCCAGTGCTGGTGTACCAGTTAAACTGGGACCAGCTACTGAATACGTGTAAATCAGCCTTAAAGACAAGTTCCACATAACAGTCTCTTTTTCAAATATGTATGTATATCATAGCCAATAGAAAATGAAATACAAATAAAAATGTTACCTATACTCTGTAAATAGGCAAATTTCTCCTCCTGGAACAAATTTTCTTTAATTTGCACCACATGTGATACGTTGGGATTAAAACAGCATTACAGCTAAAATTTTCCGACATTTTCCCTTCTGTTACAGTTTCGCTGGTGTTTCAAATTCAACGAAAAAGCGGAAAAAAGAAAAACAAATCGAAAGAAAAACAAATAAACACGGCACATACAATCTTCCCTAAATGAGATGAGGCTATTAAAATTGTAATTGAAATGAAACAGAAAGGCATAGATGTACAGGGTGGGTCAAATTCGACGCTTTTAAATGGAAACACCCTTTTCTATAGGAGGTAGACAAAAACTAATATCGGTGTCTGGAGCTCAATTATTGTCAAAAACATGATGGTGAAAACCGCATATCGATATCTGTTATCGTTTAGGATTTACTGTTATGATTTACTTTCGAAAATATGCATTTTTAACAAATCGCTCTAACTTTTTTGCTATGGAAAATTTTGTGTTTTTATAAAACATTTCCAAAGCACCTTTTTACGTTAGAATTTAATGGTTTAAGTATATTTTTTTTTAAATTAAGAATTTAAAATATATCAACAGAAAATTTGATTTTTTACATGGAATACCCTGTATATTTTTAATGTATTGAAAAGAATTTAAAATTACCTTTCCAAAAATATAACACTCTTGATATTTTGCTCTATTCCTCTTCGAGATATAGAGTATATAAAAATTCGCCCGCATTAAATAAGTAGGCCTTGAACGGCACCGGCTGCAATGCAAAAAAATTCTAGCTGTGAGCATCAATTAAAAGGAAAATAATATTTGCTATGAGAGATGCAGAATTTTAAATTGTGCAATTTGAAATATTATATATTTAACCAACATCAACACATTTAAACTATATCTAATACCAATAAAAATAAATAGCAAACCAAGACATGAGATTTTGCTACAGGTGTTCGACATATCAACCGTCTTCTGTTATGGACAGATGGGGCAGTTTTTGGACATTTCTCGCGGAATTCATTAACTCAGTGAGGGTGAAAGAGAACCTCTCATAACTGCTAAGTATTTTTAATTCTTGTCTAGATTATAAGGAAGAATAAGGAACCTTCATTCTTCCATAAATATATCCATAGGATTAGATCCATGGGCACTAAATCAGGCGTCCTCGACGGCCAACGGCTGGGATCTTGGTTAGCTATCCAATTATTCTTGAAATCGGGTGCAAAAATTTGCTGATAACTTCAGCGTTCAGATGCGGTACGTCGCGTCGTCTTGCTGGAAAAATATGTGTTCGAGTTCCATTAAGAGGACATATCATCAATAAGGGGTCCAAAGCCTACTAGTTAAAAGTGGCGAACTTTTAAAAATTCTGTATTTCGAAGGGGATTATAACAAAACATCAAGTGTACTATATTTTTGGAAAGGTAATTTTAAATTCTTTCAGTTAATTAAAAATATAGAGGGTGTCCCAAATAAAAAATCAATTTTTCTGTTGATAACTCAACTAACTCGATTTTAAAAAAATTATACTTAAACCATTAAATTCTACGTAAAAAGGTGCTTTGGAAATGTTTTCATAGAAATACAAAATTTTGCATAGTAAAGAAGTTACAGCGATTTGTTAAAAATGTACATTTTTGAAAAACACCCCGTAACTCCGAAACGGTAACAGATATTGATGTGCGGTTTTCACCATCATGTTTTTGATGAACATTGAGCTCCAGACACCGATATTAGTTTTCGTCTATCTCTTATAGAAAAGGGTGTTTTCATTTAAAAGCGTCGAATTTGACCCACCCTGTACAGTGTGAAATTTTAAAAAAATACTTTAGTGTATCTTATTAACCTTTTTAAAATTAAAAATGGATGTTCTCATCACAAGGAAAAACAAAATGTTATGTGACGAAATTATTTTGACGAAATTTTGAAACATCCTGAAGAATAGAATAGCACAGTAATAAATTTAAAAACCACTTTACTATCAGGGTGTATATTTTCTTGATAGTTTATTTTCTGATTCATCCCAATTTTTTTTTGTTAGACATATTCGATTTTGACAGTAATGATCTACTGAACTTAGTATAGCATTAAAAATATGCCTTTGCTAATCAACATACCTATAAAATAATGTTTATTGTTTGTTAATGCCACTGTCATTAAAAAGTTATATTAATATTCGTTGGCAGTTCTGACAAGAATAATTTTAAGTATAAAAGTTGTAGCTGCCGTTGTTTTAATTGAACATGGTAGAGATTATCTTCTGGACTTAAAACCATCTCTACTGGAGTAACTAGCAACAAACTCTAATATGCCTTTTCATCGACAGTCGCATTAAAATAACACTAATCACTATTTCAGAGGTGTGTTGATGACCAAAAGCAATAACTATAATATTCTTTGGCAAAAGGAAAGGCATGCTTTTACTGCTATCACTGCAGATCTGTGCTGTCTTCTTCAAAGGCGAATATCTCCAAGCTTAGAGTTGTTAAAGCTTAGAGATAAATTAAAAACAAACTACACACACCGGAAAAGTCTAGGGATATTAAAATTTTATCCAGCCATCGTCAGTAATTTTATTAGTTGCATTTCTGATATAATAAAATTAAAATAAACAAATAGTTTACAGGACGTATTGGAAATAAAAATGCGAAATTTACCGAATTTTTCAAATTTACCTTGATTTTTATTGAACTCAAAAAAATACACACATTTTTTTTTATTCTAAACTGTGAATTAAAAAAAAAGATAAAATCATTTTTACTTAATAAAGGGTATGGCCTCCTCTACTGTTCATTGCAGCCCTGCATCGTCTCTCCATGCTCCTGATCAGGTTGTAGATCTCTTCTTGAGGTACAGCCTGCCACGCTGCATTCACGGCCCGAACCAGATCCTTACGAGTTTCACGAGGCATACCCATTCTCAAAATTCTTCTTTGCACCGCGTCCCATACGTGCTCGATGGGGTTGAGGTCAGGAGATTGTGCTGGCCAGGATAAGATGTTTAATTGATGAGCATTGATAAACTCACTTATCACTCTGGCTGAATGAGGCCGTGCATTGTCATGCATGAGAATTAAGTTTCTCCCAAAATCATTGGCATATGGTAACACGACAGGTTCAAGAATTAAATCACGATATGCGATTCCTGTTAGAAACCTTTAAAGAAAAACGAGATCGGTTTTTCGGCCTAACTGGACTCCTCCCCAGACCATAACTGTTCCACCTTGATAAGGGTGCACTTCCTGAACATGATACAACCGAATAAGATTTCGCGGTTCTCTCCATACCCTAAGCCTTCTCGCATCCGGATGAATTCCAAAGCGTGACTCATCCATGAAGAGAACATTGGCCAATTGTTCATTCGACCACTGAACATGATCTTGAACCCACAAATATCGTACCTCTCGATTTCCTCTCGTTAAGGGTTGAGCTCTCCAGGGGCGTCTGCTTCTTAAGTTGACCTCTCTTAATCTATTGTGAACAGTGTCAGGACTAACGGTTACATTATGTGTTTCCTGGAGAATTAAACTAAGCTCTGGTGCTGTAAGAGTCGGTCGACGTCGAGCATTTAATTGTAAAAAATGATCTTGCTGAGGGGTAGTAATGCGATGTCGCCCTGTGTGCCTTTCAGCAACATCACCACTTTTACGGTAGCGTGCACTTAATCCCGATATTACACTTTGCGTTGTATTTAATGCTCTAGCTACGTCGATTTTGCGCATTCCAGCTTCGAGCATACCCATGTCCCTTAGCATTTCGTCTCTGTTAAGATGTCTACGCTCCATAATGTCGTTTAATACTAAATAGAGTTATTTGAATGAATTCTGGCCAATTATCATAAAAACATAGCCAGTACAGGTTAAATTCAAACAATTGATGCTAGTGCTTTTTATACATTTGACAAAAAATGCACAAACACTTCTGCAAATATCCCAAATTTAGAAATAACTAGTGTGACTACTTCTTTTCAATCGAAGTAGAAAGAATCGGCCTATAAATATGTGGTTGTTTATTCAAAACATTTATTTTTAACTTTAATAAAATTATATCCCTAGATTTTTCCGGTGTGTGTATTTTGAGAAAAGATGCATCTTATTTTGTTAAACCATTCCTCAGGGTATTTCAAACTTTCGTCCAAATAACGATACTTTATTTTTCCTCGTTAATCGACAGACAAGGACTTTAATTTTTAATTTAAAAAGAGGCTAACAGTGTAATTAAAACAATAGCGACACTGAATTTATTCAATTACGGTAACAAATTAAAATTAATTTTGGCATATTTAACGCAAACTAAATGTGCTTTTATTTATTGACTAATTATTAATTTTGACAACTCAATTAAGTTAATTAGTGTTTGCTTATTTATTTAATATTATGAATTATATGTTAAATCTAGATATCAGTTTAATTTATCAATAAACTTCTACTCCTTTTAAATACCAAACTTCATTATTAAATTTTGAACTAAAAATAATTTCTGTTTATTAAAGTAACAAATTGAAATTGGGATTATATTAAAGTAACTTTCAGAATTTCTAGAATATTAGCTATTTTCCAGGAAATCGTTTCGGGAATGAAGAAAAATTATCTTTACCTTATAACCTACGCATACGAGAATCCATCACTGTCTGGAACGAACCTTTTTCCATAAAAACCGAAATTATTTTCTCATTCCCTTTTTTGACCAACACCGATCCAATAATTATATCTTTTTTGCTTTTAGAGAGAAATACGAGTAAAATATATTAGTTTCAGTTAAACCAACTAATAATATAGTTTTTAGTCGACACTAAGTAATTATTTTTTTATTGATTGGATTGATAGAGTGTATATTTGTCTTTTAATTATTCTCTATATGAAGGTTCTTCTATATTTGTATTTTGTTATTTTAAATTAATAATCCAAATACTATTAAACACTTAAGGACATATTAAAAGTAGATTCCTTAACCTTAATTGGAAACATTTAGGTACATAATGGGTTGTTAGATTAATTTTTGGTCTAGTTGCACTTAGTCGATTTTAATGGGTGAAGTTAGTTTTGGGCTTCTAAAACTGTTCTCCCATTTAACCCTTTGTAGGCATTTGGTATACTAGGTTTTCTTTAGATTAACAGCCTACAAAAAAAACATACAAAAATATTAAATATACACCTCTTCAATAAATTGAAGCACCAAATTATTAAATTAGCTTTATTGATATTAAACAAATAACGATCTAAAGTAAGTTTAATTATAGTTATTCTAGTTCCAATTTCTAGGGTTTAAAATTTGACTAAGTTTCTTAGGATACATTAAAATACGCAACCAACCGTCCTTGAACTGTCCAATCAGATCAAAGAAGTAATCGTCGTAGATCGTGCGGTATCGATGATGTTCGGTACCTGGAGAAAATTGACAATTGACAAGAGAATTGAGGATTGTTTATTATTTATTATTTTTGACTTTTTAGTTCGTTTAATTTAATAATTACTAAAACCAGCAGTTCGAAAAATATATTTAAAAATAAAAGATAAAAATCCAAAAAATTAATTATCTATTAACGTGGATTTGGACGATAATAGGTAAGAACACTAAATTTATTTCTATATTCGATATAAACTTGTTTATTAGGTTTTTAGTTTGTGATGTTTCATGTGATGATCATTTTTATGTTCATCGTCTTTGAATTGACATGAGGATATCTATGGAAAAGTAACTAATCTGAAAGTAAGCCAACATATCGTTTGTTCTTTGTGTGCTAACGAAAAGATTTTCTTTTCGCATCATGAGGAAGTATTACATCAATTAAAAAATGTTAGGAAGTTGATTACTTGTCATGGAAAAGTATACCAATGGAAATTGCTTGTAATAGAAGTAATTCTAAGGGTAAATTTTATTATAATTAGTGACCTGTCTATTTTTTATACGTAGATGTTTCAGGTTTAGAGAATAAATTGGTTGAACGCAAAATCTGGAGGAAGTACCTTTTTCCATACACAGAATATGCCCATCAAGAATACTAGTCCAAATTTGCTTTAATGGTAGACAATTATTCAATACAAATTAACTTTTAAGTGACTTAAATATTAAACAGTTTAGAATATGGTATAACAATGTAAAAAAATACTATTTTCAGGAACGATTAGGGCCCAATATATTTGAAACTCATGTTGGACGTAGTACTGAGTTGGGTAGAATATTATTCTATGTTAAGTGAGGGTCTATTATTGTACTGTATTTTAATATATACATTAGAATTGTTGGTTATTTCATATTTGTTTTATTTATTATTTTACTTACAAGTTATATAAAGTTAACACTAAAATCTACTCTGTGGTTTACTGCATGATTATATTCACATGATTTCAAGTTTTTAAATTATAAATATTATAACTGGCTTTAAAAATTCCATTAAACTGTTAAAAGTGTAATTTATTTCAAAATAAATATATATATATATATATATATATATATATATATATATATATATATATATATATATATAAGGATAGGGTACCAATATTGAAAAGGAGTAATATTGTTTATAATATTCCGTGTTTGCAATGCGATAAATGTTATATAGGCCAGACATCACAAAATCTTAAACAGAGGATTACGCAACACAAGAGTGACTGCCGTCTCGGAAAAAAGTCTTGTGCACTAGCTATTCATTTTCAGAACCAAGATCATCAATTTGATTACGACAGTGCATCTATACTGGAACAGGAAGGCAATTTCCGAAAAGAATTTTTTGGAAATGGTTCACATTAATAACAACAAAAACTCTATAAATTCAAGATCGGATATTGACAGCCTTAGTTCCATATATTGTAATTTATTAAGGGAATTATAAATCAATTAAATAAAATATCACACATACATTTAAATATAGCAGCAAAAATAAGATGGGATGCGATGCCTGCAAATATGCAGTTTACAATCTTTTATAATTTTTTCTTAGTTGTTTGTTTCTTGGAGCGTTCGCTCTTCACTAAAGCGAAAGAATTTGATATTAATACACTTCATGTTTATTTTATATACGTACGTTGTCAATGGTGGTTTGTAGATCAAAGTAGTTTATTTTACATTATTGTATGTTTTTTTTGTAAAATTTGACTCTAATTGTAAGTAGTATTTTTGTTTTGTTTTATTAATTTGTTGTAACGTATTTTAATGAAAAAACTTTTATTCCTAAGTTACAATTGTAATGACTATTGTTTTTAGCTGACGCTCCTGATGAAGACATAAATGATGTCGAAATATAGAGCTATTTAGATTAAAGTGAGTTTAATTGAAACAGACCGCTTCCCGATATTATACCACATTTATTAAATCGTACGGTCGAGAATAATTAACATATATATATATATATATATATATATATATATATATATATATATATATATATATATATATAGGTATATATTAATATCGAAAAACTTTTATTTCCTTAACACCAATTTAGTCATCACATACATATGTATAAACATTTATTTACGTTATTGCAAATGAAGACCACAGGAAAAACCAGCTTTGTTCATTTTAACTGGAGCCGAGAAAATGCAATTAAGAGTGGACTACTCTGATTTTTCTCCTGTAGGGCAAAATAACTAAGCTGTAATATCTCCTGGACTAAGCGTATTATTATTGCTTTCTTTGAGGGTGCTTCGAATAATGCTAACACTTGCCTATAAAGTTGTGTCGCTATCAATTTCTATGAAAATGTAACATATCTGGTTTTTCCCGTGTAGTCTTCAAATGATCTAAAAATTCAGCAGGAATGACCCATTATGCAGCAAACACACTGATGTTGAATCATTGGAAGCTTTTTTGTGGGCGTTTCACAAATAAAATCAAATGTCTAATCAAAAACTGAAAATGCAAAACAGTTAGTAAGCTTTATAAATACATACATATATATTTATATAAATAATCATACCTACATGTATTTATGTCGTACAATCCAACCAATATTTTAATATCCTAACCCAAGTAAATAATCAAAAATGCACTTTTTATATCAAAAGCAGTAATGTTACTAAGGGTTCCAATTAATATCCAGAATTTAAAAAAAAAACACGATTCTAATTCTTATTATTTTTCTAAATACGTACTGTCTGATAGGCAATTACAAAATATAAATCTGATGTAAATAGAAAAATATGATGTAAAAACAGGTAAAAACTCTTCGGTAAAACAACAACAAAAACTCTAACCAAAGATTTAACCGTCATACGACAAAAGCATCACGTGATTGCACAATACCTGATTGGACGGTTGGTTGCGTATTTTAATGTATTACGTTTCTTTAGGCTTAACCAATGACTAAAGAATACAAGGACATATTATACGGGCTGCAGCAGAATTTGTTACGTTAGACGCCATCATTGGAGCCTACGGATGAGTCACCACCTCGTCAACAGCAACAATTTTAGCGATTTTTAATAACTTGTTGTGTGTAGTGAACTTTGTTTAAACTTTATTACAATGGTGATGTGTTCAGCTTTCAAGTGTAAAAGCCGCAATGATAAGAAAGAGCCAGAAGTTGCGTTTCATAAGTAAATAAACAGTCCACTCCACCTTTTTAGCGTTTTCTTATTGAATTTGGTAATTATTTTTCTGATACTATATGTACTTGATATGTGCTAGTCGTTGATACTAGTTTTGTACCTTTTGTTAACATTTCAATACGTTTTCTTCGTAATTATTTAGTTTGATAGCACCGCCTACACCAGGCGTAGTTAAAACATTTATCAAAAATATAAATAGCCCTTCAAGCAGCTAAGTTAAGAAAAATATATGGCCACGACACTGTTTAGGTTAGGTTAGAAAGTATAGGTTAGGTTAGGTTGCTGGGGTTTGGGATCCTGCGCTATTCCAGTACAATAAAACACTAGTTGGCCGCTAGACACAAAACACTGAATCTTTAAAAAATCAACGCGCGTTTCGCTAACTATATTAGCATCGTCAGCAGATGATTAAAAGTAGTTCAAGTTTTAATATGTATAACAAGTTGTGCATAAATTTAAGCATACAATTATACGAAAATGTATATCATTATTAAAACATATTAAATATTATATTGCTTTAATATCGTATTAAACCTGTATAACATAGTTAACAGATATACATATTTCATAACTTACAAATTGCAGCTTTAATTTAGGAAATGGAAATTGTACATTTCGGTAATTATATTAAATAAATTGCCGCCATTATTAAATTTTAGTGCGTTATTATTGTGTAGCGCCAATGTCTATTTATTATGATGTACGTTTTCATTTAAATTTAATTAATTTAGGTTGATTAATAGGTATATGCTTATGGTAAATAGCGACGCATATAAATCCGTTAGGTACAGAAACGAACCTGAACTGTGCAATACATAATTACGTTAAAACATTTCTCCGTTAATAATTTTATAACATACGAGCATAAGTAAATTATTTTCTGTCATATTATGGAGAATTTCATTTAGATATAATGTGGCCTAAATTTAGTATAATGTCTAGTCCTTCAAAGTCCTTTATAAAAACCAATAAAAACAAATAATTTGCTTTATTTAAATAAGTTCTTTAAAAAAGTTCAAAAACAATTTTCACTAAAATAAAATGGACATTCGTCGTAGAGTTTTAAAATTTACGTGGTAATGTACTTAGTTCGTTAATTTGTGTTTGTAGTTTTCAGGACTATTGGCTATTAAGACGTTTATTTAATCATCAGCGAATATTAGATGCCTTTTAAATTTACAAAATTACGTTGAACTTCTTATTACTAATATTTTCTTTGAAATTTTGAAACTAATATAATATATTATGTGTCTTAAATTTATTACAAGTGCTTCTCATCTTGTTTTGATTAGGCTTAAATTAGTTAAAAACCGAATTTAAATATCGTCAATAAATTAATCATATTATTTAATGCTTGGTTTGTTTTGACGCTATAGACATAACAGTCAATCTTCTTCTTCTTAAAGTGCCCTCTCCATTCAGTGAAGATCGGCAACAACCATGGCAAATTCCTCTCTATTTTTCGCTCTTCTCAGCAAAGTATGTGAGTCCAGGCCTGTCCAATCTCTGATGTTCTTCAGCCAGGTGCATTGCCGTCGTCCGGGTCCGCGCTTTCCCTCAATTTTACCCTCGATGATGAGCTGGGAAGGAATTCATACTTGCTATGTCTCATGATATGGCCCAAATAGGCTGCTTTCCTCTTTTTTATTATGTCGAGGAGTTCTCAGTCCTTGTTCATTTGGTTTGGAACTCGTTCATAAACAACAATTAATTAACAGTCAATAGATATTCGAATTTACAATGTACAGCCCACCAAACCAGCAAAATCAGAATATAGCCAACTATTTCAATTGTTGAAAGATTGCGCTCTATTATATTAATTCTTTTATACAGGGTGCTACAAATTCGAGGTACGAGCATTGATATCGGTAACCGTAATAGGTACGAAGATGGTTAAATTGGGGTAAAGTTGCGCTTTAGAATGTTCACCACGATTCCATCAAAAAAGTTTCAAAAATTTCAAGGATTGCTGAGTTTGTCGCAAAAAAACGAATTTTTTTGAAAATCAATTTTATTTTTTCCTGTCAATATTTTTTTAGAAAATCAAAAAACTAATTGCACATTCTCATAGCCACTTTATTAGGGCTATCCGATAGCATTTTTAAATTTTCAAATTAGTTGAGAATTTGTGAGATACATAGGCTAAATTACTTTTTTTAAATACGGACCTGCATTTTTTATTTCAGATTTTGATAGAACTCGGTCTCCTAAGTACAATGATATGCCACACTTAATTTTTTTTTTATTTCGGACATTTGAACACAATTCGTGCCAACCCTAGACTGCACTAGTTTGGAGAATAATTTTTGGCTCGAAACGACGTTGGATACCGACATTGGCTAGAAGCCTAATTTACTACAATCTGCAACGTTGTTTAAAATCCTAATTCACAGAAATACAAAACTAATATGGCGTCTAAGTCGCGTTTTATCCTAAATTGGGATAATTATAGTAAAAATATTATTTTTATGGTTTAGTTAGAGACATATGTCAGATGGCAGTGAACGAAAACAAAACAAAAGTATTTAAGTGTGGAGGATGTTTGAAGATCATAATTATTGAAACACTTTAACCGACTCTGTAACTCGTTACCCAAGGCAAAAAAGTTAAACGCAAACAACTTTATTGATAAATGTATTGTTTTTACTTTGAAAAATACTAATGGGCCTTAAAATTAAAGGAGTTTTAAAAATTTTCTTGAATTTTTTTTTAGTAAAATGAGAATAATTTATTCGCAGTCGAAAAAATTGTTTCCGCGTGTTTTTTAGTGTCAAATATTTCAAGTTAATGTATTCAAAAAGCAGGAATTGCTATTTTAAAAACGAAACATTTTCTTATTTAACAACATGGAGGCTTGCAGTTT